TTGTTGTTTTTTTTTTTCTAAACTCCACTTGTAGAATGTTGAATGCCAATCCAACTTGCAAAGCCATCTGATACAGGCACATCATCCCATAAGCATTTCTGACAGTCAGTGTCACTATGCATCTTTTTTATCACCCTCCTTTTTACAAGGTATCACAGATAGCACGCGAAGTTCAACTGTGATTAATAGGACTCTTTCACCATTGACTTCACTGGGCTCCAGCCTACTAAGAAAAATGCAGCTGCTGATAAATCTCATGTGATAAGAGCTGTGTTATGTAAGCAGTTCGGGCAGGCGATTCAGCGCTTATTATTATGACAGGGTGGTAGTTTGCAAAGTTCAATTGAATTGACTAGGCCACTTGTCCAATTGATTTTGCTTCTGTTGAGTGGGAAAAACAAATGCTGAAAGTACCAAAACCCATGTTTGCATGATAGAGATTATCTGTTTGGAGGTTGGTGTATATTTTTTAAAACTATTTTTAGAATATTATGCAGACTTTGAAAAAAATGTTTCTGGTTGTCCTTGTTTTTTTTCTTCTTAGAAATTTATACATCAAAGCTTCTGGTAGAATACTGAAACAAAAAATTTAAAATTGAGAAACTTTTCAGAGAAAAGATGAAAATGCAATTGTTCTGTGTAGACTTTTTTTTTCTTTTTGAGACAGAGTCTGGCTCTGTCACCCAGTCTAGAGCACAGTGGTGTAATCTGGGCTCACTGCAACCTCTCCCTCACAAGTTCAAGCGATTCTCCTGCCTCAGCCTCCTGAGTAGCTGAAATTACTGGTATATGCCACGATGCCCAGCTAATTTTTTGTATTTTTAGTACAGACTGGGTTTCACCATGTTGGCCACGCTGGTCTCAAACTCCTGATCTCAAGTGATCTGCCCGCCTTGGCCTCTCCAAGTGCTGGGATTACAGGTATGAGCCTCTGTGCCTGACCTATATAGACTTTTGATGCACAGGCTGTATGTGGGGGGAAAAACAAAAAACAAAGACAACTAGAAAATTGTTTTTCACAGTCTGCATAATATTCTAAAGGTGGTTATAAAAAATATACCAACAGCCAAACAGATAATCTCTATCATGCAAACATGGGTTTTGGTACATGTACATAAGATTTATGTATAAAACAGCAAATTATTTATGTTACTAAATTTCTAAATGCCAAGAGATGTCAATGGTGGAAAATCACCTTGGGTTAGATGGGAGCAGAAAGAATGTAGACATTCCTTCATGGCATGACTTGCTTACTGGACACGTTCTGAAGGAAATTGAATGGTGTATGCAGGGTGGGGAGGGCATGGCGCAGGCACCCCTGTAGATTGAATTCTCTTAGGGGGTGAGTTGGGGGAATAATTTCATCTCACACCATAACTTTGAGCATAGCTAAAAAATACCATGTGGTTACAGAACAGTGTTTAGTTATAAGGACCAGTTAGATCAGTGAATTTGGATCTTTCTGAGACTAACAAATAGAAAACAGAGACTTTGTTTCACGTATAAGATTTTTGTGGGTAAAGAAGAAAAGCAAGATGCCCCTTGTCCAGCCTCATTCAGCAATTCTTCTGTGTGTTCCATGAACCTGGGGCTGAAGCCACCCTGGAAAGTCTGCATGCCCCAGGCTTGAACAGTGTTTTCATACCTCCATGCCTTCGCCTGATCTGTTCTCTCCACCTGAAATACTCTTTTATTCTAGCAAACTTGAACTTGCCCTTCAAGACCCAGAACAAATAGTTATTACCCTGTGTCTCCAAAATTAGTAACTCTTTTCTGAAACCCCTTAGCACATTGTACATAAATCTTTTATAATTGATTTGTCATTTATCTACACCATGGCCTGTCTTCCTCAGTAGATCATAGGCTTCTTGGGGTAGGAACCATGTCACTCTCCTCTTTGTCTTCCTACCCTACCCAAGCAAATCATAGACTTTTAGTGCTTATTAAATAATTGAATGAGTTTGTGCCCAGAGAAGGGACCCCGACCAGTCAAAGGGACAGCCCATCACCTTCATTTCTTCTCTGGTCAAAAAATGCAGAACTCTTAATGTAAAACCTCCTGTGATGAAGAAAGCAGAAAGAGGTTGCGCAACTTAAAATCCCCTAATATAAAATGTTCATGTGGGTAGACCCAACAGAGAAGAAACTAAGCCTAAGGGATTTTCACTCTGAAATCCATGGATTTGCTTTCTTGTTGTTTTCACCTGTTCCCAGTAATGCCATGTGATGGAGGCATTTCACGGGGGTTAATCTACACATAATGAAGTTTCAAAGAAATCATATACTGTACTCCACTTACGGGGCTCTGAGGTTTTTCTTTTCTAGGCAGCATGATACAAAATAGTGATAAATAGGCTGATGTTTATCACTGCAGGTAATATCTTTTAAAATAACATTTTTTTGCTATCCCTAAGCAAGTATATATTATTGTGAATGGTTTCTTCATTAAAATAAGACGTTTTGCACATACTCTGTCAGAACTGGAGAATGTCTGATCATCAGAAACATGCAAGATTCGGTGATATGTTTTCTCTCAAAAGACCTCCAGCAGTCTCTGGCCCATGTCAGCCTGACTTTTGCTTTCTCATAAAAGTCTAATAAAACTCTGCAAATGTGCAGATCTCACCTGGCTTGGGCACTGATATTAAGAACTTAGTTCTGCCACCTCCGGGTATATACCTGCTGGCCACGAAAACATAAAGCATCCTTTCTCACCTGCCCCAGCCTTAGGAGGGGGCATAACCCAAGAGTATTGCATGGGAGAGTCTTTCAGAGTAACACAACTTAAACTCTGGTTCTGATTCTAGGAAAAGTCCTTAGCCCATCTGGAATTTTCAGGAACCATTTCTCTTCATGAAAAAGTGTAGTCTTTCCTGTGCATGATAAATTTGGGGAAGCTGCACTAGGAGAGTCCTGCACCAATGTGGATCCACTTTAATCTTACTCTTCTATGCTAAAATCAACAGTATGCAGTTTCCTGAAATTGAAACAATGGGATCAGGGTCACAATGAGGAGGGTGTTTTGTTTTGTTTTGTTTTGTCCCAAATTGCAACTGATAGAATTTTAGTGGCATGTGGTTATGGTGAGTTCTTGTGACTTTTTTCTCTCTGGTTCAAAATGAGAGTCAAATGAATAGCCAAAGAGAATGAGAATAGTAATATATGAGGTTTGAAGATGATCTAAACACATATTGGCCAGCTTTCTGGAAATCAGGGGTATTTCTATGTAGCTTTGTATCTAGGCATGGATCACGCAAGGGTGAATTGTCCACATCACGGGTAGTAAGGTAGAAAGGAAGGCCCACAGACTGAGAATTAAGGACGTGAGAGTGCATGAGCCCCTATGCCTCACCATCTGCTGCTCTAGGCCAACTTACAAGACTAGCTGAGCTTTCCAAAATGCCATGGCAAAAAAATGCTTTGTCAACTAAAAAACATAGTATAAAATTCAGTTGTGCATTATTACAATCCTTGAAGTGATTACTTCATAACTTTGCTGATTTTACTTCATAATTTTGCTGATTTTCCCCATAGCCTGATGGAGATGGATGAAATTTTGGGTTGTTTAGGATTTGCCCTTTTGTTGAAGGAAAACTTCCTTCCAAGCACTAAGCACCTCTCTGCCTTGGAAGGTAGAGCTTTTGCTGAGAGGTGAAGCTAGTGTTAGTTGTTCTCCATATTCATGTGCAAAATGTGTCCTCCATTTCCACAACAGAGAAGAGATAGGAAAGTGATTAAAGAGACCAGCATAGTGGGGAAGTTAAATACTTATACTTAGGTTTTTTTTCTCATAGGTTTAAAGTGATTTCCAGATGATTAGATATATAGACTCTAGGTAAGAACAAATGTAAGTAATTTTTGGATTATCTTTTTAGGATTATTTGTATTGTTTTTCCCATATGTTAATGTAACCAACTGGGAATAGACTGTTGTTAACTCTCATATAAATTCTTAGCCAAACAAGGGCATCTGCAGAGCAGGCAACACTCCTTACCCTGATAGGCAAGCTCCATGGAAGAAATGCTGTTCCTTCCTCTAAGACAAAGTTTAAAGAATTGCTCTTAACATTGTCCATGACAAAATCTCAAACATTTCCCTTTCATCATCATCATCATTGTTATCCGAGGCAGCAGCACCTTTTACTGAATTTCTTCTCTGTGCCAGATGCAGTACTAGGTACTTACAAACATAGCCTGAATTCTATCCTTGCAACAACCCTGAGAGGTATGTGTCCTATTTCTCATTTTTCAAATGAACCAACAGCTGCTCAGATGATGACGTGACTCGGACATGAGCTTTTAGGAGGCAAAACTGGACTTCAACCGAGACTTGACTTTAGGCCTCAGTTCATTCCACGACTCGGTGTGGCTGCTTCGATGTTTATTAGCTGCACAGGCAGTCTGGATAGATTTACAGAGTAACAGGCCTCGAGGTCAGATCACCTCTGGCTTCTGGTCTCCATCCTGTCACTTATTACCTCTGTGATCTTGGAAGAGTCTGTTAATCACTCCGAGTCTGTTGTCTTATCTGTAAAGTGGTGTTAAATTGGGCCGTCAATCCTCGCAGGATCACTGGGAGGAGCGAATGACACAGTGTATCCTGAGTGCTAGAAAAATATAAGGTCTGACAACCATTCCCTTTTGAGCAGTACTGCTTGCTAGGTTTATTCTTTAAAATATGTTTACCTTAATGATTTTCCATTATTTCAAGACATGGGACATTCATCAAGTAGCACAAGCAATGATATGCGAAAAAACCTTTATTTAATTAGAGCCCAAATAAATAGAAACTCTTGTTTGGGGTTGCTTTCTTAAATTCCACTTTTGAGAGCAAGACAGAATTAAGAAAGTATGACATAAGTAAGAAAAGAAGGGAATGGCATAGATTTGCTAAAACCCAAACAGCTTCTAGAATATCTTTAGGGTCACAATCAGGTTTAGGCAGGAAGCTTCCCTAGAGACTAGAGATGTCCAGTCGCTTGGCCAAGGTCACTCACCCACCTGGACCCAGGCTCTGGTGCTCTACCCCTGTGATTGTTCTTTCTGCCTCGTCCCCCAGAGCTGCTCATCCCCTTGGCCTGATCTGGAGCACATACTCCTGTTCAGCATGAGAGCTCCTCAGATCCCCTCCATCCACAAATGGAAGGCACCCTTTTGTGTTCCTGTAGACTGAGCCTTCTCACAGTGAATTACTTCACAGTTAAGAGTTTCAACCACAAAGTCTAGAAATGGAAATATCCGTTTATCAAAATGTCCCATTCCCCATTCGTTCTCATTAGTGGAGTTTCTATTACTGTTATTTGCCTTCTAGAGGAATGGAAAAATTAGTTCCCATTGTGATTTGAACTATCTGGGTCACACTGTGAACTTGGACAACAGGTCATTCCCCAGATCTACCACCAGGCTCTACATGTTGTTCCAATTCACTGGAAAGCTGCCAGCCTCACTCCTGAGTTCTGTAGAGCTACCATGGAGGAAGGCATTGGGGATTAACATAGAGGAAGAAAAGCACATAGAGTTTATTTTTGTTGTTATTGTGTAAAGCTAACACAGGAAAATGTGTTTGTCAAGCAAAATGGAGCCTGGTTATCCCCTACATTCAGGGGGACGTGACAGGACTTGAAAGTCAAACAAAGAAAGAGGAAAACGTTGATACCATTTTTGGTCATCCTTCTTAGGATTGTTTTCTCTTCATTGTATCCTTTCTAATACTAGCTCCTTGTGGACACCATGCATAACATTAGAACAGAACATTCTAACACTTGGCTTTGAAGCAAGAATTGGAATTAATTGCCCTTTAAAATACAGGAACAGATTAATCCAGCCCAAGTCCCAATGAGGGAGGTCAATAAAATTCTTATTTTGCAGAGGCAGGGCATTTCACACAGAGACACAAGAGAGGGTGGATTACTCACTCAAGGCCACACAGCAAGTTTCTGAGCAGCTTGAAAATAATTACACATAAAGAAAGAGCTTAATTATGTGAGCCCTAAGATTATAGCAGTGCCGTGATATATGAGGCCTCCAACAGTTCCTTTGCTATCAAGTGGTTTCCAGATCAACTCTAGTGAGAACAACAGCCTAAACCCAGGAGTCAGGCAGGAGTAGGATGCAAGATTTACAAGACACCACTGTGGACTTGGGTGTGTCGGGCTGCAGGACTTAAAACTATGGTCTTGTCTACTGTACAGAGTCCCCAGAGCAAACCCAGTCTAGGAAGGTGTATTCATCCATTTTCACATTGCTGCAAAGAAATCCCTGAGACTGAGTTATTTGTAAAGAAAAGTGGTTTAATTGACTCATGGTTCTGCAGGCTGTACAGGAAAGTGGCTTCTACTTCCAAGGAGGCCTCAGGAAGCTTCTAGTCATGGCAGAAGGCAAAAAGGGAGCAGTGTGTCTCACAAGGTGGGAGCAGGAGCAACAGACAGACGAGGGAGGTGCCATACACTTTTAATCAGCCAGATCTCATGAGAGCTCACTCACCATCACAAGAACAGCACCAAGGGGATGGTGCTAAACCATTCGTGAGAAACCGCCCTCCATGATCCAATCACCTCCCCCCGAGCCCCAGCTGCAGCACTGGGTTACAACTCAACATGAGATTTGGGTAGGGACAGGATTCAAACCATATCAGAAGGCAGGCACTGGGTACTCTTCATGGTTTCTGGAATCAGAGAGAGTTATTGGAGCAGAATGACTGTGTAACCATAACAGAAATAAATATGAGTCAGAAGCTTATAGACAATTTTAACAACAAAAGTTTTTAACCTGATTCTTATAGGTCAAAAAAAAAAAAAAAGTCCAAATGATAGATTTTTCATTTTGGGCAAAAAAGAATTGGAAGTAATCTCAGAAGTTTACTGCTCTGGGTGAGAGTCCAACACTTGAAGTGCAGAGAGGAGGTATAAGGTGAACCCTAAAATGGATTATAAAGAGCCAAGTAGTATAAAATTGGGGTCTGAGAGTTGGTAACATGTTACTGGATTTGCGATGATGAATCATCTAACCAGCTCAAGGGCACCAACTTTATGATTTTAATGTAATGTCTCAAATTACTAAGCTTTGATATTGTAAGCAGCCTGACCACATCATGAGATTCTGAGTAACTTGATTTGTCTCACTTTGTTCTGAAGTGGATCTACTTTATCAAAGCCACAGATATATGGCACAGTTTGAAAGATAACTTGAAAATTCCTTTAGCACAGAGACTTCCCAGGCCCTGGTTTCAATCATACTGGTAGGATGGAATTTTAGGCAGACAATAATAAAAATTTGTCTGAACTTAGGGAATGTGCAGTTAACTAGAAAGGGGAATCTACTGTGTTCCACTATAAATGTGCCACCTGAAAGAAAAAAAAATGAATTGAGCACAGGAAGCCTGTCAGGCATAAATTTTTATGTGTGTGTGATGAAGTCTCACTCTGTTATCTGTTATCCTGGCTGGAGTGCAGTGGTACCATCTGGTCTCACTGCAACTTCTGCCTACTAGGTACAAGTAATTCTCCTGCCTTAGCCTCCCAAGTAGCTGGGATTACAGGTGTGTGCCACCACAGCCAGCTAGTTTTGTAATTTTAGTAGAGATGGGGTTTCTCCCTGTTTGCCAGTCTGGTCTCAAACTCTCAACCTCAAGTGATTCACTCGCCTTGGCCTCCCAAAGTACCAGGATTAGCCGCCATGCCAGGCTAGGCATAATATTGATAAATGGTGCTAATCCCATTCACACACTTACAGGGCAGGGCAATATGTTTCTACCTTGTGTTAATTCACTCTCTTATATTGCTCCACTTGTAGTCTCTAGGTAATATTATGAAGTGAAAATTATAATAAGAGTCCATATTTATTAAAAGTCAAATGTGCTAGCTACTATATGCCTGGTACTGTACTGAGTGGTACCACATTAAATCCTTACAAGAGTCCAAATTTATCTGCATTTAACAGGTGAGATACTGAGGTGCATATGTGACATAACCTGGCTGAAGTCACACAGCTGATTGATACATTAGAGAACCAAGATTTAAACCCAGGAGATCAAACCCCTGAGCCCAGCTGCCTCCTGATGTCCTTTATCGACTTACCTCATAAATATATTTCCCAAGAAAGAAATATTCACCATCTTGATGTGAATTTGTCAGTATTATCCACCCTATACATTTTTGACCTTCCCTGGAATGGAGCAGAAAATATAGCTTAATTGCATTCTAGGGTTTGGTGGAAAATAGAAATTGTGAACAACAAACTTAGGAATTTAGCTGAACAGGTTTTCAAGAACAACGTAAAAAGTATGGCCTGTTTTCACTCTGTTGCTTACAGCAAAATGAGAGCAGAAATAGAAAAACGGAGGAAGGAACTATTAAACAAAGAAGCGCCAGTAGTTGATTTGGAAAATGTTCAGCCTATTCAGATAATATACTCCAGACAATGTGGCCAAGGGTGTGGCTGGACAAATCTTTTCCAGTTCAAGAAAATTTCAGTGTCACAATTTATTTTCCACTTCCAAAAAATTCAACTGCAGGGTATCTGCTTCTGACCCAGATGGAGTATCATGGACTAGATTTATTCTCCTGTCTGACAAAAAAAGCAAAAAAAAAAAAAAAATACAAAATGTATTAAATACATTTTAAAAATATATTAATAAAATACAGTTTTGAAAAAATAGTTTGCAAGTCACTGGACGTCAGACAATGAAGAGCAGTGATCCTTCAGCGATGGGAAACAAGTGGTATGAGCTCTAAGCTCCCCCAGCTTGCTGCGTTGAGACAGTTTCCAGGCCATGGCTCAGGGCATGTGCAAGGGGAAGAAGGAGGCTGGTAGACTCCCTGAGTTGAGGAAACAAAGCTGAGAGTCGAGGAATACTAAGGTGGCTAAAGTTCACAGCAGAGTACTAGAGAGCTGACAGCTATGTAGAGTGAAAACTTCAGAGATCTGTAGAAAGTCCCCTTTTAGTACTTAGCTTAGTACTGATCAACGTAGGCATGTAAAGAAACTCCTGGAAGCTGGAGAGAGAACCACTTAAAGGATTAAAGGTAACAGTGACTGGTAATTACACAAGGCTGAAAATAGTGCCCATTCCCATCAGCCAGACAGGAACACCTCTAGGTCCACAGGGCAATGGGTACAGCATGTAGAAGGGTCTCCCCTCCACAATGGGGATCATAAGCCATTAATTCAGCAAGATTCAACTATATGCTGCTGCCAATATAAGCGGCTTGTACTGACAGCTTGTACTAAAGGCAACAGAGACAGAATGAAATGAAAGAAGGCTGTTGAACTTCTAGGATTCTACAGGCAGAAAACAGGCAGAAATGAACTGCCCATATAAAAATATAAACAGATTAAAAGGGAAAGGATGAAAACAGATACATCACGTATCCTGGGTTGAATAGTGTCTGTGAATGATTTATGTCCACCAAGAATCTCAGAATATGACCTTAGTTGGAAATAGGCTCTTTGGAGATACAATTAGTTAAGATGGGGGCACACTAGATTAGGGTGGGCTCTAAATCCAATATGGCCGGTATTCTTATAAAAGGAAAAGAGGAGACACAGAGGCACAGACAACGTGCAGGACAGGTGACATCAAAGGCAGACTCTAGGGATGCAGCTGCCAGCCAAGGAATGCCAAGGGTTCTCAGCAAACACCAGAAGGTAGGAAGAGGCAAGATGTTATTCTGTGGAATCTTCAGACAGAGGGTGACCCTGCCAACACTTTGATCTCAAATTTCTAGCTTCCAGAATTGTGAGAGAATAAATTTCTATTGTTTAAAGACACCTTGTTTCTGGTGCAGGTGCCCCTTCAGTTAGGACAGGGTTCCATCCTGATTAACCCATTCTAAAGTTGAACAATCATAAGTTGAACCACTGTAAGCCTGGGATCATCTGTAATTAGTAATGATAACCCTGGGAAACTAATGTTTATTTTGGTACTGGGAAATGGGGGGCTATTTTGCAAATATCTAATAATGTGGAAGTGGATGTGGAATTGGGTAATAGGTAAAGGCTGGAAGAATTTTGAGGCATCATGACAGGAAAAGCTTAAAATTCCTTGAAGAGATTATGGGTGGAAATACGGATGCTAAATATGTTTCTGGTGAAGGCTCAGTAAGAAGTAAAGACCATGGTAGAGAAAGCATATATCATTTTAGAGAATGCCTGTATCATCATGGACAGATTGTTGGTAGAAATAAGAATATTTCAGGTGCTTCTGGTGAGGTCTCAGAAGAAATATGTTATATAGGCACGGGAGGAAAGAGAATGCTTTTTAGAAAGTGGTAGAAAATGTAGCTGAGTTGCCTTCTAGGGTTTGGTGGAAAGTGGAACCTGTAAGCAACAAACT